TCGCTTGAATCCAGGAGGCAGAGGTTGCAGTGAGCTGAGATCATGCCACTGTACTCCAGCCTGGGCGACAGAGACAGACTCCATCTAAAACAAACAAACAAACAAACAAACAAAACACACACACCATGAAATCAGGCTGGGCGCAGTGGCTAATGCCTGTAATCCCAGCACTTTGGGAGGAGGAGGCGGGCAAACTGCTTGAGCTCAGGAGCTCAAGACCAGCCTGGGCAACATAGCAAGACCACTGTCTCCACAAACAATTTAAAAATTTGCTGGGTCTGGTGGTGTGCACCTGTAGTCCCAGTTACCTGGAAGGCTGAGGCAAGAGGATCACTTGAGCCTAGGAGATCAAGGCTGTAGTGAGCCATGATGTCACCACTATACTCTAGCCTGAGCAACAGGGCAAGACCCTGTCTCTAAAAAAAAAAAAAAAGTGAAATCAGATCATGTTACTCCTCTACCTAAAACCCTGCAGTGACTTCCCGTTAAGCTTAGAATAAAATCCAAATGTCTTCTTGTGGTTTATAAGACCCTGAGTCAGCCGGACGTGGTGGCTCACGCCTGTAATCCCAGTACTTTGGGAGGCCGAGGGGGGCAGATCACCTGAGGTCAGGAGTTTGAGATTAGCCTGGCCAACATGGTGAAACCCTGTCTCTACTAAAAATACAAAAATTAGCCGGGGCGTGGTGGCAGGTGACTGTAATCCCAGCTACTTGGGAGGCTGAGGCAGGAGAATCACTTGAACCTGGGAGGTGGAGGTTACAATGAGCCAAGATCGTGCCATTGTACCCCAGCCTGGGCAACAAGAGCGGAAAACAAAACAAAACAAAACAAACAAACAAAAAACTCTGAGCAATCTGGCCTCTAGCCACTTCTCCAATCCCCACCTTCTTCTTCTTCTTTTTTTCTTTTTTGAGATAGAGTCTCTCTGTCACCCAGGCTGGAGTGCAATAGTGCGATCTCAGCTCACTGTAGTCTCCACCTCCCGGGTTCAAGCGATTCTCCTTCCTCAGCCTCCCAAGTAGCTGAGATTACAGTCGCCTGACACCACTCCCAGCTAATTTTTGTATTTTTAGTAGAGACAGGGTTTCACCATGTTGGCCAGGCTGGTCTCAAACTCCTGACCTCAGCTGATCTGCCTGCCTTGGCCTTCCAAAGTGCTAGGATTACAGGTGTGAGCCACTGCGCCCGGCCTTCCAACCCCTACTTGGGACACTCTTCTACCCTTCACATTGCACTCCAGCCACTCTGGCTTTTTTCCCATTCCTCCAACACTGGAAGATTGTTCCTGCCTCAGGGCCTTTTCACTTGGTGGTCCTTCTGTCAGGCATATTCTTCCCCTATGCCATCCTTCCCATGACTTTCTCTTTTTCATCCTTCACATCTTGACTCAAATGTCAAATCCTCAGAGTCCTCCTGTGTGGTCACATGACCCTTTCTAATATTCTCATAAAATCGCCACTCTCTGAAATTATCCTCCCCAAATGGTTTATCTGTTCCCGTCTGTGTCTTTCTCTAGACTGGGAGCTCCATGAGGACAGGGAGTAAGTCTGGCTCATTCACGGCTATGTCCCCAGCTTCTCACACAGTGCCTGACACCCAGTAGGGCCTTGACAAACGTTGCCCAAAAGAATACCAGTGTCTGCTGGTAACACCACAGGATGCCGAGATAGAACTGTGGATGTTGTCAAAGAGCATTCACCCATATTTTTTCCCCATGGTCCCCTCCTTTGTATAAAACCCCCAGAATGTCCAGGGAGGTCTAGATTTGCAGGCAAACCTCATCACCAACACTCAACACTTCTTTCCCTTTTTTTTTTGAGATGGAGTTTCACTGCGTTGCCCAGGCTGCAGTGCAGTGGCACAATCTCGGCTCACTGCAACCTCCACCTCCCGGGCTTAAGCGATTCTCATGCCACCGCCTCTGGAGTAACTGGGATTTTAGGCGCCCACCAGCATGACCAGCTAATTTTTGTATTTTTAGTAGAGATGGTGTTTCATTATATTGTCCAGGCTGGTCTCGAACTCCTGACCTCAAATGATCCACCCACCTCGGCCTCCCAAAGTGCGTAAGCCACTGTGCCTGGCCACCAACACTTCTTTCAGTCATCTAACCACAATCCTAGCGCTCATTAAATTGCAAGGAAGGAGAGAATAAAGTTCATCCCCAGCCTTTTAGAACAGAGTTCCAAATTGCTGGCCTAGGGCCAAATGTAACCCACAGATATATTTTGTCTGCCTCACACTGTTTTAGAAGATTTTGAGTTCATGACCGACTTTTTAAAATTGGAACATTTCACACAAAAATCCTTATGTTCAAGTTTTACCAAAAACTCAGAGGATGTGGCCACAAGTGGCCCCAGGGGACTGGAGCTGAGAAGTGGCCGCCCCCTTGGATGAAACGTGGGCTCAGTTTGCTCCAGTCCCTACCCAGAGGCTGAATTCTTCCGTATTATCAGCCAGGTCCCTTCAGGCACTGGGATCCCCCCTCAAAGTCTAAGTATCCCCAGAGACACTATTGGGTTTCCAATATTTTGGCCACAGCCACTCTCTTCTAATCATCAGCTTCCCATCATCTTCAGCAGCCCCCTAAGAAAGCTCTGTGGAGCCAGGAAAGACAGTTTGAAAAGTGCACTTTAATCCACTCTTCTCATTTTACAGATAGGCAAACTGAGGCCTAGAGAGGGGAAGGGACATTCCATTTATTAGGCTGTATCCTTTCTGACAAGATGCTTATATCAACTGATCTTTGGAAAGCTACTGGTGCTGATAATGGCAGGAAAAGGCGAATAGGGAATCAGTGCTTTCCTCCATGAGCTGTTTGCTGGTTCCTGGGAGCTGTGCAGGCCCACCCTGGTGAGCTATGCCATGCTCAGGCTCAGAGCCAGCTAATCACTTAGGCATGTGCCAGCAGAACTGAACTCTGGAGGGGAGTTGCCCAGCAGAAAACAGCCTGGGGACAGAGGCTCTCCCCATGTCCCAGCTCAGTCTGAAGTCCTCCTCCAGCCCTGATGATGTTGCAAGAGGTTAACACACCTGCCATTTTGCTGTGGAAAATTATGGCACTCCTATTGTGGGCAGAGACACATTTCAATCATTCCACTGGGTTCCACATTGATATGTGCCTGGTATGTGCCAGGGATGTGAATGCTGTGGGAGTTCACTGATGGGTTTTACTGAATATGAACGAGGGCTGTAGTTTCAGGCTGTCCTGAGTTCCAGCCCTGGCTCTGTAACTTCCTGGCTGTGTGACCTTCAGCAACCACCCTAGCCTCTCTGTGCCTCACTTTCTTCATCTGTAAATCGGGATGATAGGAATAGGACATAATTCCTAGGATTGTCTTGGGGATTCAATGAGATCATTTTTTGACATATACTAAGAAAATGAACACAGTAGAATTTGGGTTTTTTTCCTTGTTTATTTTTCTCCACTGCACTTATCAGAAGCTGATATTTTTTATTTGCATCTTTGCTTACCATCCGTCTGACTTACTAAATGACTCTCCATAGAGAAAAGCCTTGTCTGTCTTGATCACCCCTGCTTCCCTGTCTAGAACAATGCCTGGCACGGAGTAGGTACTCCATAAATATTTGTCTGATGAATGAATTGCTGTCTTTCATATTTCTACTCTAAGTGCCATTCCGATGATGCGCCCTGCCCTGGAGTAGCCCAAAGTCCTGTGGACTCCAGCAAGAGCCACCCTGACCTCCACAGTCAGATGTTCACAGCAGCGCTGGGCACCAACTCCAAATGTCACCAGCTGGGCTCATTGCCTTGCCCTGACAAATGGCACTTATGTGACTTCTGGTGGACAGAGCTGTAGCAGGGGAAAGTGAGTTGGTGCCTGAGGAAAGTGGATCGAGAGGCTGAGTTCTTAAACTCAAGGGCCCTGCACCAGTAGCGAGGGGGCCCAACTGAGGGGACATGGAGCCCTCACCCTGAGGACATTGCTTTGGAAGAGGATGCCTGGGTGGTGCAATTACCTCGTGGCATACTGAGATGGGGATTCGTGCATCCTGCATTCATTGGGAAACAAAATGAATTTCTCGGAGAGACAGGGCTTTCCAAAATGTAAAGCGCTGCAGGAAGCAACATACATGGAAAGGTCAGGAAAGAGAGCCGATCTGTTTGCTGAGTGTGGGCTGTACTTCTAAACCCGGCCAAAGTCGATGCGCAGCCTCTGGAGGTGGCACAGTTTGGGGACCCCTTGGATAGGCGTGCACTCGGGGAGGCTTGGAAGCCAGAGAGGAATGGGCCAAAGTTTCTTCGGGTGTCTGCAGAACCCAGGACGGCCCGCACAGCTTGCCTCTTCTCTTCCCGCCCCTGGCCTGCACGCGTGAAATCTGCAAATTCCCCTTTCAACTGCTGTACGCGCTCGTTCAACTTCGCCCTGGCTAGAAACGGGATAACCGTCCCGATGATTATATAACTTTCCGAGTTCAGGAAAGAGAAATCAAAGGGAGAGAAATGATGAAATTTTCTTTATGGACTTTTTTACCCCCAAAGTAAAGTTACAGAAGTGCACAAAAAATATATATACAAATACCCATACACCCGCCATTCACAAAGAGTAACTTACATTTTGACTTATCTGGAAGAGGGTTTTTTCTTTTTAGTTACCAAATAAACCTTTCTCTTCTCCCAAGTTCCAGTATATCTGAATCCAAAATAAGTCAACCTTCTTTTATTTATTATTCTCCTTTTCCATCCTCACCCCAGATTTATCTTAAAGGGTAAATTCCAAGACCCCCGAAATCCCTCGGTGAGTTCCCACATGGCCAGGTCTGCAAACATCTAGCCTCAACGTACAAGATCCGGCGATGGCCGCAACCGGCAGTATGCACAGCTGCATTTCCTCCCCCAGCCCCAACTCCCGTGTGCAACTTTGCAACTCACGCTCGGGCCCGGTGTCGGGGGCGGGCCTATTTATTCGGTCTGTTTGGCGGAAGGATCCCGCGCGTGGACGCAGTTGCTCTCAACCATCTCCGCCCCGCCCCGCCCCGCCCCGCGCCCGGGCCCCGCCCCCTCTCGCGCCCGGGCCCCGCCCCCTCCCGCGCGCCCTATGGCCCATAAAGAAGTCCCGGCCGGGCCGCTGCACTCCCCGCGCGCATCCGTGCGCCGCCCGAGGCTGTCTAAGGAGTCGGCGGCCATTTTGTTCTTCTCGTGGTTCCAGTGGGGAGAGAAGGAGGAAGCAGGGAGCGGGGCGGCAGGGGGGGGACCCGCCGCGGCTGCTGCCACCGCCGCCACCACCGCCTCTGCTCGTGGCGTGGGAAAGGAGGTGTGAGTCCCGGGCGCGAGCCGGCGGCGGCGCCGCTGCGGGAGGGTCGGCGGTGGGAAGGCGATGGCGGATTTAGACAAACTCAACATCGACAGCATCATCCAACGGCTGCTGGAAGGTAAGGGGGGCGGCGGGCGGCTGAAGGGGGAGGCGGGCCCGAAGGCGGCAGGCGGCCCCGGGGGCTCTAGGGAGGGGAGTTGGGAGGCCGGTTGGGCTTGCAGCACCGTGGGGAGTGAGCTTCTCGAGTTGGCCCACGGGCCGGGGGCTGCAGCTGGAGGGAGGCCAGCCCGGGATCCCCAACTTGTCGCCAGCCGCGGACCCTCCAGGCTCCACTCATTCATTGCACGAGGATGCAGGCTTTCTCCCGGCCGTGGAATTTGAAAACTCCGCTCCCCACCCCCACGTTTCCCGCCTCTACCCGTTTGCCCCCGCACACCAGACGGGTCTTTGGAGGGATTGTTGGGCTGGGGGCCCCAGTCCAGCCTCCTGGACGGCGTGCGCCGTACTGTGCGAGATGGACTTTTCGGTGCTCGTCCTCACGGAAGGCAGTTTGATGAGGGCGTGAGTTCCACCGGGTTTGGGGGCTCTTTTCCTGCTTGCTTTTATTTTTCGTGGTTCTGGGGTCTTGGGGGGCCCATTTCTTGTTACTTGGTAACAAGCGTTCATGTCTCAAGAGGTATGAGAACCTGTCTTCGCCTGCCCTCCAAATCCTTTTAAGTTATTCTAATCTTGGAGAGGTCTCCGCGCTCTTTTCCTGAACGTGCATCTGAACAGGAAGTCAGCAAGGCTGACAGTATCGTTATCTTTCCAATGTGCCAGGCTCTGTCTTGAGCACTTTGCGTCCATGAAATTATTACTGTAATAATCATAACTGGCGCTTCTAAAGGGCTTACTGTGTGTCAAGCATTCTTTGAGCACTTAACACAGATTTCATATTCTCCCACCCATTGCAAGATATTTGCATTTTTTTGTTGTTTTTGTTATTTTACAGAAGAAACTGAGATGAAGTCACTTAACCAAGGTCACACAGTTAGTGAGTTGGGTTTCAAACCCAGATAGCCGGGAGCTAGTAAAACTCACTACAGACAACACTGAAGGAAGGGGGCCAGTGGTTTAGTAAAGGTTAATAGAAAGGTTTGAATTTCGGCTCATCTAAGACTGGTGAGGTGCCTGGCAATTGATTCATGTTGATGTGGGAGAGGGGCGAGGTTCAGCTTTTAAAGACGGAAGCTGAAATGAGCTGCTTTCAGATTCAAGGGCATGTCAACAGATGCTAACATCTTATCCAAGACTTTGTAAGAATTCAGTCATACCCCTTAACTTGGACACTTCATAATGGGAACTTGGCAGTTTTAACTGCTTTTTGCCTTTATATAGTCCTAAAATATTACTGGACTATAAATGCTGTGACTGGTGGAGTCGAGGGCATGACAGCTGTAGTGTTAGAATTTGCAGATCTTTTAAAGTAAGTTATTAAAATGAAACTCTGAAAATATCTCGTCCTTTTCTTAATCTGTGCATTCTTTTATGCTGTCTTTAAAAAAAACACTAAATGTCATTAAGGACCCCTGAAATGCTCTTGAAATGTTACTGCAGGTGAAAACCTTGTGTTGTAGGTGAAAACCTTGTCATTCCTTTAATATCAGGTGTTTATATAAGAACCATATTTTTTCATGCTAGTTAATATAGTTCTTTATTTGAGGCAGCAGTTGGTCAGAAACTGATTAAAGTAGTTTTAAGAAAAGAATTTTTTGTTAAATATTTTCTTTCTAAATTTTGAAATTCTGCTTATCTCTGCAGGGATATGTGTGGCTTTATTTCTCTGAGGAAACAGGAAAAGTTGGAATTTGCATGGATTAGAAACATTAGAATTTTAAGATCGTCTAAGGCTTGCTAATTTAAGTTCTGGTTTGCCCATAACTGCCTCTGTATTCATAAATAGCTTTTGTTAATTTTAATCATTACAATCCTAATAGGTAGTTTGCCTGGTAAATAATGATACATCTAAAATGAGATCATTGTTTCTTAATAGTTCCTCTTGTTATGTGGCACTTGAAAACCAGGTTTTCTTATATTTCTTTTTTTGCTGAAATTAATAAAGCAGTGCATTTTAATGCCTTGGGAATAGGCTAACTGCAAAGTATACTTAAATTTCCTTTTTTCTCGTGGGTGTTAAATTGGCAGAGAAACATTTGAAGATGATCCATTGAGGATATGTAGATATCTAAGTTAAGTGATGTTGGTAATAAATTCTGTGCTTTACAAGTTTTTTATTTTAAAAAAATTAAATGTAATAATTTAAAATAGAAATGAGAGTCTCACTGTGTTGCCCAGGCTGTTCTCAAACTCCTGGTTTCAAGCAGTCCTCCCACCTCGGCCTCTCTGGGTTCTGGGGTTATAGTCATGAGCCACCATGCCCGGCCTAAATTTTGTGCTTTTCGTAATGCCCCCAAAACCTTTTTTTTTTTTTTCCCTTAAATGCTTTAAGATGTAAGTATATCTTTAAGATGTAAGTGTATCTGAAAGTAGAGGCAGTATGACTTTTGTGACCTTGGTAGACTTTTTCACGTGTTCAGAATTGATCTTTTAAGCTTGAGGGCAGCATAAGCTAGTTGAGAAGTAGCTCAGTAATAGTACTAAAAAGCTAACTGAAAAGTGAAGTCTTAAGAAAAACAGCATGTTGGTTTAGATCTTAGTCACGAACTTTGCAGTTCTTTTCTTTTCTGAACTCCTGAATGTTTCTGTAAGTAATGGCATCACCTCTGCAACCCACCATGGATGCTTTTATCCAAACTCTGCCTTGCTGATGATAAAACCTTAAGGTTGTTAACTCCTTAGTGTAACGGACAGTAAAACGACATTTTGAGAGAAAATAAGCCAGCTGTTGATTTGGTCTGATGTATTGAAGAAAAGTGGGATTTGGGGCAGTTTTACTTTGTAAATGACCTCCTTCACGGAGCCATGGAGGCTAGCATTTTTCTTGCACAGCAGGTGGTTGTAATACTTCACATCTTGGTTTGCAAGAAGCATCTTTGCTTTGAAGAAGGCCATTGTCAAACTGCAAGACCATGTCAGGTTCTGCAGAATTGCCTGACTTGTTTTAGTGATTTAAATATGACCTCTGCCCTGGCTCACAGAAAGTGAGCCAGGGCATTTAATCCTCTGATATATAAGGGTTGTCTGAAGGTAGGGAGTGTTCAGATATTCTGAAACTCTGAGATTGTTTAAATAACCGTTGTGTTCAACTTTTTGGTGCAGTATAAAATGTTCATATTCTGATGGTTAGCCGTCCCTGGTCCTAAAGATAATAAAGGACAAACATAATGGTTTAAAAAGGGGAAGCTTTCTTAATATGCTAACCAAAAAAACAAAAGTAATCTTTCCTAATGAACATCTGTAATTATTTAATTTTTTATTTTATTTTGGAGACAGTCTCACTCTGTCACCCAGGCTGGAGTGGAATCCCGGCTCACTGCAACCTCCACCTCCTAGGTTCAAGCGATTCTTGTACCTCAGCCTCCCAAGTAGCTGGGATTAACAGGCACACACCACCACGCGCAGCTGAGTTTTTGTATTTTTAGTAGAGACGAGGTTTCTCCATGTTGACCAGGCTGGTCTTGAACTTGTGACCTCAAGTGATCTGCCCACCTCAGACTCCCAAAGTGCTGGGATTACAGGCATGAGCCATGGTGCCCAGCCTGTAATTATTTGTTTACAGAAAAGGTAATTTTTACACTCACATGCAAGTTATCAATTTCTGATTCCCTCGTTGATAAGAACTCTGGTGTTAGCCCTTGCCCTTCCTTCCCATCAGCGTGTTGGTTGTATGCCCATTTCCTCTCCTAGGCAAGGCAGGAAAGCTCTGTTGGAGACAGATGATCTGCAGCTTGCAGGAGTTCTTTGTTAAATCACAGCATTGAAAAAGGATTACTCTCCTTGTGCCCGCAGTGCCCTCTTGCCTGTCAGTAGCAGGAGGCAGCAGTGAAATCTGACAGAATTGTGTGTGACGTTGTTGTGCTTGGGCAGGAGGATGTGACACTCAGGAGCAGAGCCCTGGGCATTCCTCCTCAGAACTGGGCAAATGGACATGAAGTTGTGGCCCAGCAGTGGTCAGCTGTGGAAATTAGTGAGGTGATTTGATGTCTTTGAAAGCACAGCCCTATTATAACCTGTAACCTGTTGTGCAGAATCACAGTACCAGTCAGCCCACTTGACTAGGTGAGGATCTCTGATTGTGAAGCAGGGAAATTATTGGTATTATGTGGACTTCACCATTTAACTTAATTTACAATCGAGGCCATTAGTTGACCTTAGAGATTGAAATATGAAGGAGATAATATTCTGGGTGTCAGTCGCTTTGTAGATAAAGAACTGGAAAGTCATTCAAGACCAAGAAGGAAAGATTTCATTTCCATGGAGCTTATGGAATTCCAGGACAGAGTTTGAGTTTACATTTTAAGGTCATACCTCTGTATCCAAAGCATCAAAAACAGATGATTTATTTATGGATCTTGGTGATTTGTCTGAACTCTCCAGCTTCTCCACTTCACTGGGGTTTACTGTCATCCCTCTTCTAGAAGGGAGTGGTTGTCACCGATAGTAAAGCTTACAGCAAATGAAAACTCAAAATGTAGGGTCAGATGTAGAGTCTACTCAGTGGTATATTACCAAAATGTGTTCTTAGACTGTGGAAAATTGAAGTTTTTAATGGATTGGCTTTTACTCTAGGTGTAGAAAACTCAAGATGCTTTATTGAGAACAGTAAACAGTGTTTTGCAGCTACATCCTGTCTGTCTTGAAAAAAATGGTGTCACTTTTATTTATTTTTTACTGGGTCTCACTCTGTCCCCAGGCTGGAGACCTGAACTCCTGGGTTCAAGCAATTCTTCCTTCTCATCCTCCTAGCTAGGTGAATCTGCAGGCACACACCACCACACCTGGCTAATTTTTTTTTTCTTTTTCTTTTTTTCTTAAAGACAGGGGTGTTGCCTAGGCTGTTCTTGAACTCCTGGCCACAAGGGAGGCCTCAGCCTCCCAAAGTGCTGGGATTACAGGCGTGCGCCACAGCTCCCTGCCTTAGTGTCACTTTTCAATGCCCGAAGTATAACCCCATCAGTT